CCCCCCCCCCCCCCCCTTTTTGAGACAGGATCTTATTCTAACCCAGGTTGGCCTGGAACCACTAACTACCATAGACTGGCTTAGATAAGGTTTTTTCATTGTAATGTGTGTGCCTTAAGTCTGTGTGCACCACTTTTATTCGGGTGCCTGTGAAGACCAGACCTGGGCATCAGATCCCCTGGAACTGGAGTTACTGGTGGTCGTGAGCTGCCCAGTGTGGGTGCTAGAAATCAAATCCAGGTCCTCTACAAGAACAGCAAGTGCTCTTAACCACTGAACCATCTCCTGCCCTGCCTGGAACTTTTTAGCAGTCTTCCTGTCACAACTCCTGACTGCGGGGGATTACGCACTTGAACCACCATGCTGAGTTTACAACCTATGGTATCAAGTCAGTAACTTTCCGAGAAAGGTTATATAGTAAGTAAATGCCTTTCTTTCTGGTGTGCTTAGGGACTGAATTCAGGATCTTCTCTACCATTGAACGTTTCCCTCAGCCACGGTAATTGAATTAGAAATAAAAAGATTATGTAGCTGGAAGTGGTGGCTCACACCTTTCACACCAGCACTCGGGAGGCAGAGGCAAGCGGATCTCTGTCAGTTCGAGACCAGCCTGGTCTACAGAGCAAGTTCCAGGACAGGCTCCAAAGCTACACAGAGAAACCCTGTCTCCAAATATGTGTATGAATATTGTCTGCATGTATGTATGTGCACCATGTGTATGCCTGGTACACAAGAAGGCTAAAGGTTGCAAGAGCAGCAAGTGCTCTTAACCACTGGGATTTCCAGCCCCATGCAACTTAATTCTTAAATTCATTTGAGAAGGCAGCCAAGCTCCTGAACACTTGTGGATCCTGCAGGATTCTTGGAATTGCACCTTATGGTCATTATAGAAGCATGAGTGTGTGTACATGAGTGTCTGTGTGCATGTGTGTATGAGTGTGTGCGTGTGTGTCTACATGAGTGTGTGCATGTGTGTGTGCGTGTTGCTGTATAGGGATGGGACCCAAGGCCTTGGACATGCTAGGCCAGAGCTAGCCCAGTGAACTGTATCATCTGTTTCTGAGTTTTCTTTTTTTCTTTTCTTGGGTTTTTGTTTTTGTTTTGTGGGAGAGGGGAGGTTTGGAGACAAGGTTTCTACATAGCCCTGGCTTTTCAGGAACTTACTATGTAGACCAGGCTCTCTTTGAACTCACACAGATCCACTTGCTTCTGCCTCCTTGGTGCTAGGATGTAAGGCCTACACCACCATGAATGGCATTGCTGGGGGTTTTGACTTTTGCCAGTGTTTTGTTCTTCCTTGTTTCTCTTCTATACCAACCCTTTTTTTCTTAAAAGATTTATTTTAACTTTTGTGTGTGGTGTGTGTGTGTGTGTGTTTAGGTGCGTAGAGCGTGGTGCCTAAAGAGCCAGAGTTAGATCCTTTTGGAGATGAAGTTTTATTTAGATGGTTCTGAGCCACCTCTGGATGCTGGGAACCAACCTCTGCTAGGGCAGAGTATGTCTCCCCTCCTTCCCTCCCTCCCTCCTTCCTTCTCTTCCCTCCCTCCCTCCTTCCTTCTCTTCCTTCCCTCCCTCCTTCCCTCTCTTCTTTCCCTCCCTTCCTTCTTTCCATCCTTCCCTCCCTCCCTTCCTCCTTCCCTCCTTTTATCCCTTCCTCCCTCCTTCCTTCCCTCCCTCCTCTCTCTCTCCCTTCCTTCCTTCCTTTCCTTCCTTTCTTTTTTTTTTTTTTTTTTTTTTTTTTTTTTTTGAGACAAGGGTTTTTCTGTGGCTGAAGCTCTTTCTTAGACCAGACTGGCCTCAAACTCACAGAGTTCTGCCTGCCTCTGTTTTCCTAGTGCTGGGATTAAAGGTATTCACCATCATAGCCCTGCTAGGGAACTTCTTTAAATGAGGCATTTAAATATCTATACAGGTTTTGGTCATTTCCTTATTTCTCTCATGAAAGTTGGTGCAGGCTTAAGTCTACAGGAGCTGGGCCTGAGCTAGCAAGGGAATTACGAATTACACAAGAACATCCAGGGGGAGGGGGCTGGAGAGATGGCTCAGAGGTT